ATGCAGCTGGGGGGAGGCACACATACCACCCCCAGAGCACACCGAGACTGTACTGGGGTGCAATGCCGCAGTGCCCGGGGGATGCTGGATAGGAGACCCCAGCACGGGCAGGGACCCGCATCCAGCCCGTCCCCACCATCCCACCCCAGAACCCGTCTGTGGGGACCCACCTTCTCTCCCTTCAGCCCTGCGAGGCCGTGAACGCCCGGGTCTCCCTAGAGGAAAGGCAATGAGAAATGTGAGCCATCACAGCCAGCACTCACCTCCTCCACAGGCGCTTTAACCCCCCCCCTCCTCGGCCGGGACGCCAGGGGGATTGATGGAGAAAGCGCCTGGTGTCAGCCCCCACCACGAGGTGGGTGCCAGCCCTGTTAAACACGGGTGTCAGCCATTCCCCACTGGTCCCCCAGCCCGGGCAGGAGGGTGATGTACTCACAGTACTGCCTTTGGGGCCGGTTTTCCCCGGGGAGCCCTGGAGAAAGGAGAAGGGGGGTCAGCCCAGCTTCCCTGAGCTGGACCCCTGAGCAGCCCGGCCCCTGCAGCCAGAGCGCTCACCTTGTCTCCTTTGACTCCCGGCAAGCCTTGGGGTCCTGGGATCCCCGGTGGACCCTGCTCGCCCTTTGGCCCCTGGAAATCAAGGTAAGATGGGAAAAAGATAGAAATGAGTGTGAAGAGATGGTGGTAGGACCCTCCTCCCCCATTGGAGCACCCTCCCCAAGGCAACAAGATGCACAGGCAGCTCCTCGTCCCCTCCAAGCGGCTCAGGCTGCCCCACAGCATCCCAACCTGCCCTAAACACAGCCTCTCGGGGGGCACAGGGCAGAAAATGATCATAGAATAGTTTGGGTTGGAAGGGACCTTTAAAGGTCATCTAGTCCAACCCCCAACAGCCACGTAGAGGGGAGCTTCGTCAGGGACAGGGTCCTGTCCCCCAGGAAGCCAGAGGGACAAAGGTCATTTTTTGGCCATTTTCCACCCTGGGAAAGCCTCCCTGGCAGCCTCCCCGCTCACGCCGGGCCAGGAGGAAATTCCTCACCCGGCTGGGGCTGCAAACCCAGCGTGGCCCCGGGCCAGCTAATCCCTGCGGTATTTGCCCCTTTGGCTAATCCCTCACCCCGGCAGCCAGGCACAGCGGGACGGGGCGCGGGACCGACCCCGGCCGGGATCAAAGCGAGGGGTCGGTGTAGCAGTGCCAGGCGTGCCCCGCTGTCCCCGTCCCTCCCGAACCCCCCGGGCTGAGCATCCCCCACATGCCAAGGTGAAGCCCATCCCCCAGCCGGGCTGTGGGTACCACTCACCGCTTTGCCCTGCTCGCCGGGGGGGCCCACGAGGCCGCGCTCGCCCCGGTCGCCCTGCGGAGATCCAGGGAGAGAGAAGAGTCAGGGGCAGCGCCCAACACCGCCACAAACCCCCATAG